CCATCATAAATCTGTCATAAACTAACACCCTGTCTAGGCTGTCCACAACCTACCCAGTTACATTGTACTTCTGAAATAAAACAAAAGTGCAGAGTATCTCCCAGACTTTCCTAGTGGAAGGTAATGGCAATGCAAAATTTAAGACTCACAGCTCTTTATAGTATCATTAGAATGACAGAAAGCAGATGAAGTGTAGCAGTGAATCTAGCTCTCAAATAATATATATATGCATTTCTCTCTCCCCATACTTCATTTCTTTGTCCTTTTTCCTACCCCATTGAATTTTTGAAGAAAAAAATCCATCCAGAACTTATTTTAAACTACTTTTAATCACTGCATTACTTGCCATTTCAGTCAAGACAAAGACTACATTTTCCTTTGTTTTTCAAGGAAACCCATCAAGACAGCAGAACTGAACCAGAAGCCTTCAGAATAAAGAAGTGAAGAAACTGAAGAGGACAAACAAGAAATGACAGAGACATTGGCCAAGTACCACTAATAAATATAAAAGATTATGATTTGAGCAAGTAACTTATTCTGACAAGGCCTTGTATTGCTAGAAAGGTACATTGTTCCCTATAGGATTGTAAAGGCTGTGAAAGCCCCTAGAAAACAGGAATAGCTCAACAGCTGTGGAGTGTAAAGTCCATTCTTAAACCACAGAGGAGGCATGCAACAGTCAGCAGAAGAGTATTTTTGCCTGTACTGATAGTACGCTTCAATTGTGACTACAGCCAGCTCATGTGTGCGCTAGAATATGTCAGTCTGTTGGGCCCTCCCATTCAGTCTTTGGCTTCTTAGTGAATAGGTTGCTTGATATTGTGAAGGTGGTGGTGGTTTTATCATTATGGGCACCTGTACTCTGAGAACCGGACTTGGATCAAAGCGACTACAGTTAGTCTCTGATTCACCTGTTCCCTACCTTTTTTCCATACAGTTCAGTTTAATTTAGATCTGCATATAATACTACAGATTGCCATGTACAATGCTTGCCCACTGGGATTAAAATTTCTCGGTTATCATGGCTGCATCATAATATCATGACACTGCATGAGTGTTTGATCAGCCGAATCGCAAGACCCCAAAAATTAGCTTGGGAATTTTCTCCCATTGTCCTTATCTCTCATCTTTATAAATCTCCAGAATACTTGACTTGTCCTGTATGTACAGTGAGCAGGGTAGAAACCCCTGTCAGTGAAGCTAAGCACAGGGGTGACTTGGTTTATTTGCACTCGTGATAAGAATAGCATGGTTGTACAAAAGAATAAGATATGGGCCAATTGGGAAGGATATATGAGAAGAGCATGGGACCAAATGAGGCAAGCTGGGGGGAGGAGGGGCAGAGTATAGTACAGGACTAACTTGGAATGATGGGAGAGGCCCATTTTCTAGTTTAGTAAACAAGATTTTGTCATTATAATTTGTCCTTTTGCTTAACTAGGAGTTAGCGTGGTGTTCCCTGCATGCAGGAATATACGTTCTGTAACACACTTGCTGACTAATGGTAACCACTGTCCTGATATTTGCCTGCATAAGTAACAGTGAACTGTGCTTTATTCTTCTTTCCTCCTTTTCAACTCTATGGCGCAATCATTTCTAGGAAAACAATATTTTCTCCCTGATGGTTTTAAAAAAAGCAAAAGACCCAGCTCCCAATAGTGGTCAGTTTCTCTACAGGCAACTTGCACCCTAGAGAAGTAGCTAAGCTTTCTTTGGCTGAAGCTTGCCTTCTGCTGCCCTCTAGAGCGTGGTTTACAGAGCAAAAACGGCAGAATTAAAAAAAAAAAAGTTATATTTTGGACTCTTTTCTTAGGTTTCATACAGTTCCTCCTGGTCCCATGGTAGGAAGCCTATAATCTATATTTTATTCTTCTTCAAATGATCAGCTTTGACCCATTCTTTGATGTATGGGGGTGGGCTCCATCAGAAGATCATTCTCTCTCTGCATATATTTATTTTTAGAAAGCTAGTTTTAAACTGTAATAATATTATACTTTCTTGCATAAAGAACAGGTACAACACAACCCCTAATAAAATATACACTTTGTTTCTGGAAAGCAGAATGTAGGGGAAGAAAAAAGATTTTTTCTGGTCATGGATGACTGGGAGCATGTTTATTAATGCAGTGTAATTGCCATGCATTTAGTACCTGTAATTACACGTACTAAATGTGCCATAATCAGTGCTACTGCACATTAGTATTACAATAAAACCTATGTGTCTGCTAATGTGCAGATTAATTCTACAGCGCATTAGCAGTTTTTGCCAGTCATACTAATGCGCACTAGAATTAGTCTGCTGCAATGTCAGTCTCATGTGAACATGCCCACTGTGATCTAGAGTAAATTCTAGAAACACGTGGTGTCCAGGAAGTATGGCATCTTCAGGAAAGTCTGGGTGAGACAGCTGACACCAGGAACTTCCTGGTGTTCCCAGAAGGACTTTGTCACATAAGGTTAAGTCCCAGACCCTTTTAAGGACAGCAAGACTGTTAGTTCTTTGCTGTTCTTCATATAAGTTCCTGTTAATAAAGTGTTTTTCCACATCATAAGCCTACTACCAGCAGCTCTCTTACTGTTTCAGACACAAGCTCCAGTGCTCTTTCAGTAACTACAGCTGTGAGAGGGATAACAAAGGACTCTGCCTCTGCAGTTTGCTAAGTCAGGTATGCTTCTTTCCCAACAATGAAAACAGCTTCCCCACTTATGACACACACCCCTTTTTTGGGGGAGAGGGGAGGTTAAATTTGGGAGAAAAAGGTGAATATTGCACAAAAGAAAATATGGTATTCATGTGGATCATATTTATGTGAATTATCTTAATCTCAGCTAGCTACAATGACAAATTAAAATATGTGGGTTTGTGAGCTTCTGCTCATCTAGGATGAACTGCAAATTATGCCTTGACAGATCACAGTGGACTAAGTCTTGGGTCTTCTATTCTAGTATTATAAAAGCCTAAGTCTGTCTGTCCATAACACTTTATTTGTGCTCTGATTGGCTGTCTTAGCAGCCAATCATAGTGCCCTACACAGACAGGAACAGACAGCAGAGTGCTGCCATGACAGTGGGGGCTGGAGACGAGGCCCCCTCCCCTGCTCCTTGGAGGCAGAGGAGGATGACAGGGACCACAGCACTGCCATAACGGAGGGGACAGAGCAGGGGTCTGCTTCTTGAAGCCAGGGGCTGCCCCCCCCCCCCAAATAACATCCAGTAGGGAGGGGAGCATGCAGGAGAGGGGCGTTACTGGTGGCTGTGCCATGCTGGGCCCCAGCCTGAAGTGGCAGGGGGGAAGTAGGGAGTGGTCTTGGCCCGAAGTGGCAGGGGGGGAGCACGGAGCAGCCCCAGCCCTGGCCCAAGGCAGGGGGCAAGGGATGCAGGCCTCTGTCCCCACCTTCCACCCCACCCCCCCGTCATTCTTGACAGGCAGTTTGCTAATTATTGAGAGAAAAACCATAACTACCTAGGACTGACACTTTAAAGGTCTAATTTTCAAGCTTCTGGAAAGTATTATCTGGCTCTTTTACAAAAAAATCCAAAAGATTTGCATCCTAGTGAGGACACTGAGAATAAGCAAGGGTTTTTTTATATAGCACAAACAGAGATTACCAAGGACAATGTATTTATCTAAACAGTGCCAGACAGTTTAAATTACCTCCCATAACATAGGACATTTAATTACTGCATCACCAGTCTCCAATACCAGAAGCTGAAAGAATCTCTCTACTAAGTTGAAATAACAGCAGCCAACCCACAGAGGACTGGAAAGTTGTAAAAATGATTGTTTCTATTCTTGCATCATGCTTCCCTTGAACTCCTTGCATTCTTCAACCTACTACTGTCTCTTTAGACCCCTTCTGTGTCTGTCAGCTGGTGCCGCAACTCAAGAAAAAGTGAGTCAGGCAGACAGATCTCTTTCTTAAGGGGAAATATGTATGACAAAACAGCAAAATAAGTTAACTTAAGCAGAAATGAAAACAGAACATTCTCTTGTTTGTTATTCATTCAATCCATATGTGGAACCATAACTATGAAGTAGAAAATGTATGGTTTCTTCCCTTGAGCATCTATGTACAGGAAGAGATGAGCTGAGTTGCCATGCAGAGGGCCAGTTAGCACACCTTACCATGCCCAAGTATTTGTCAGAAAAATTAGAGCTTTTTTTCACTATGTTATTTTGCTACTACCCTTAATAAAAAATGGTGATATCCCCTCAGTACTACTGACATGGTAAAGAGAGAACATGCACAGCCTGTCAGACTTCCTTTGTAGACACTGAATGTTCACACATATAAAAAACAAAACAAAACAAAAAACCCAATGGGTAATATGGATTTTTTTTGTTTTCAGTCCTGCTGTGCTTGTTTTCACAGTCTTACGTGTAAGATGTGGCATATAGGTCCAATTTGTTCCTCTTTTACTATAGTTTCATTGAAATAATTTCCAACAAATATATTAGAATGTTTCCACTCATGCAATCACTGTACTGTTCATGGTTCCTTGCATGCCTTAAAGGGAAAATTTAAAAATGTTTATCACAAAGATAATGATTACTAAAGCGAAAAAAACCATGCATAGTCAAGGCTAATGGAATTGAACAAGATCCTTTTCAGACAAAAGATACTGGATAGAATTTTCAAAACAGAAGCCAAAGGCTTCTTTTCAGTAGACTTAAGCTTCTGTGTGTTCATTATACTTGAAAATATTACCCATTAGCAATATCAAGAATTGAAAGGGTGGTGCAGGTTTTTTATATGTGAGTGGGCCTACAACAATACGCAGCCACTGCCATTTTGGTTTTTGTCTTCCTTTGTTCTATAAATCTTGTGACTTCCTAGCACTGTTTGGTGTGGACATATCAATGAATTTGTTACTCCAGCAAAATGGCCTAAAGAAATGCAAAGTGTACTGGAAACAGAATTAAACAGGACTGGTTACATGAGTAGTCACCACTGGTGCTATAAAATAATTTCTCCTGAAATCATGGTCAAACCCTGCTACTCCTTGATCACGTACTTTATTTTACAAATTCAACATATAAACAAGTAGTAAACATTTCCCCCCACTTTAACTAAAATTTCACCTTTCGCTTGTATCACCAATAATTTGGTGTTTAATATTCGCTCAAACTTCTACCTAATCTAAAAGCTTTACTATTTAAATATTGGGGGTTTTATTGTTGCTTTTTTGAAATAGTGGAATTCTTAGCTTAAACCCTAAATAAATATTCAATACTCACAACTATTAAAAAATATTGCTGCTTAAATTTCTAGTCATGTACCAGAAAAAAAGATTACAATAAAAGTATTTTCTCATTTTACCTCTACTGCTGTCAAAAATGCTTGTTGAGAATTTGAATACAGGAGCACTGGAGAAAGCAAAATTATGGCAATAGATAAGACGAACTGGCCACTATGATATACAATAATCTATGTACAGGGTATATACACATGGCTGTGAGTCTGTTCTCAAAAATCTATATGTGCATGCACAAAGTTGATTTGTCTGAGTTTATTCTGCTACTGTAAGGAACAGTGGGAAGAACCTGCTGTAGCACTGAAAACACAGATACTCTTTTATCCTTCCAGTGCCATCATTTTCAGTAGCAACAGACTGATTTTTCACAACTCATGTTCATGACGAAGCGTTTCATTTGTTTATCTTATTGCATTTGTACATGTAACAAATCTAGTACAAACATTGCAGATAAAATGCATATTAACTTATACAATACGTTTTACTACAGGTAATATTGATACATGAGCAAATTTTGTATTGTATTAGAGATTTTTTTTTACTGAACTTGGAAAAATAGGAAATGTATTGTAGCCTAAAATAAATTATACATAATATACAATATATATATTTATACACATACATATGTATATATACACATATATTGATATAATATTTAAAATAATAATTTTATTTAGATTTGATCAATTCTTTGAAGTGTTAGGACTACCTGCTAAATAATCTAGAAACTCAATTTGTCCATAAGTAAATAATAATTCACTTCTACAACTTAGAAAAATATACTTTACTAAATAAAGTTATTAATTAGGGACATCTCACGCAGGACTAAATTCACCCCCAACACAGATCATCCATTCAAGGACCTTCTACTTTCTTTGATACCCACTTAAATGTCAATGCCTACCTCGTTCACAATGCGTGCACTTACTCATGTGAGCTGTCCTTTTGATTCTCCCAGAACTTCTCTCATGAGTCTCCAGTGGGTACAGGGTTTGCAGTCAGGTCCCCGGTGTGGTGTCCTTGGTACTCAAGCTTCACTCATACTGATCTACTGTACATAGGGAAGTATGTTAAAGTGAAATCCCCATATATTGGATAGGGCTACTGGTATCAAATGGATTATATCATAGTGTACTGCACTGGCTCATATATTTCTGAATACATATCACAGAAGTAATTATAGAGCAAACCATACTGGAAAATTAATACACTGAACATTCGTCAGACCAGAAGATGAGAACTTTGGTAAAGCTTCATTTGTTTTTCTTTTTCTCCCTTAGGAAAGAACCTTAGATACAATTGTACCACTCTACTAGCTGCATAACCCTTACTGGAAACAGAGAATGAAAATGTATCTCATGGAAATGATATGTAAGACTGGGACTAGCCTTCTAGGAAACTTGACTCAAATGTTTGCACTTAAAAAAACAAACTTTAATCTCTGATGACTTAACAAAGGATACGTCGATTTTTTGTCCTGTGTTTTATTTTTTCCCCTCTGTGCTTTTTCCTAATTAGGGCTTATGCCTTCCTACTTTGTTTTATAACAATGTACAGTATAACAGCCAGTGATGAGACCAAACAGAACAGTCCACCATGGTACAGTTGTATATGTAGCAAAGTCATTTTCAAGCAAGAAAAATAAAGCTGCATTTTCCATTTTTTTTAAATCACTCATTAATTTTTTAAAAAAAAAAGGAAAGGTGAAAGCAGAAAGGATGGCAACAGAGTGAATGGCACAAAGACACACAGCAGGACTTCGGTTGACAAATGCAGATTGTCCAAAGGTGATGAATGTGTAAGTAAGGAAGACTCCTTCTACTGTAATGCAGCTATATCTTTTGAGTTTGCATGGTGCAGGAAAACAAATTCAACTAAAAAGGAAAAAAAGCAGAGACCTTGCTTTAGGTCCCTCATCAATGTAAGCATACTCAGTATGCTAGATAATTTATCTGAAACCTTTTAAATCAAGGCCTCTTTATTACAAAAATAAAAACAAACCAAAAAAAAATATGAGAGAAGAAAAGATGCTGAAGTGTCATTCCAGTTGTCCTGGCAGAGAATAGTCATGTCCCATTTAATTATTCATTCTCTTCTCTCATTTCTACGATGTCTGTCATTTCCTCTGTTTGAGGTATGTCAGTCATTGCTGAGTCTTCACCTTCCGTAGCTGTCTCATTCTCGTTCCGCTTCTTTTTCTAGGTTGAAAAGAGTAGTCAGTTGAAAAGAGTAGTCATAACCATGTGATCATTTATACTGTTTGCTGTGTATAAGCTCAGTCCTACCAATTTCCGGTCTTATCAGAAGAAATTTGGGTTACTGGGCAGAGGGCAGTACTTAGAGTTGACAATCTTAGGTTCAGTCATTGTTTTCTTGCTGGCTTGTGACACTGACTTGGAAAATCATCTTAAACTTTGCATCAGACATGAAATAATAATTACTAGGGTGTTTTGGGGCTAGCCAATGTCTGGGAATTGCTTCAGAATAACAGGAGAGAAGGCAATATATCCAGTAAATGAAAGGTGGCATAATAAATTTTACAAGGCCAAAGGTCAAGAGGGCAAGACTCCCACATACACATCCCTTCTAAAGATGAAGTGATTCTAAAGCTTATTTTTGTCCAGAAGAAAGAAGGAGAGCTTTCCAGACAGTCACTTGATTCATCCAGATTGTCTTAGCTAAGAAGCTCTTAGCTCCAGTACCAAACAAGATGAAGCATCTGTGTCCTATTATCTGTTTTTCAGCAGGCTGACCTATCCTTACAGAAAACACTTTCTAAGTGGACAAAAAACCCACTGGTTTTATCGATTCAGCTGAACTTTGGCATACAAGTGATTCAAGATCACTGGGCTGTGCATATAATACTAGTTTGCGGCTCTCACACATTTTCTCCATGTATTTAATGTTTTAGCTGAAAATAAATTGGTATATGCAACTACTGTTATGCCAATTCCTTGCTAGCTTGGGAAAAGATAGTTTCATATTCACAGCACTTGTAGCAGTACTATATCAGTCCTGCAAGGGAAATGCAATCAGTTGTTACTGCTGTGTTAAGCTACAAAAAATAAATCACCTAAGAAGAAAGCTGTGGAGGCCAAAAATATGCTGAGAGAGATGATAATTAGTCCATGCAACAATAAAGAGGTTAGTCTAAACAAAAATGTGTCATGAAACTGCAAGCCACGAATAACAACTGCCTGGGATCTAAAATTCTATTTTTGTTGTTTACGGGATCAAGAAAAAGGTGACAAGCCAACAACTACAGAGAAAAAGGTTCTTTGTTTACTTCTGAATCTAGCACTGCATGGCTTGTGTTGTGAATGTCTTCCTGCTCTGATGATACACGTCAACACTATTCTTAACCTCTATCAATATAAATGTAGTTTGAAGTCTTTAAATTCTGTTTTCATAACCTCTTAATAGAAGTAAGCATGATAGAAATTTTCAGGGGTTCTTGATTTTGACCTCTAGTGGAAATATTAATGAAACAAACAAACATTCTCCACCTTCTCCCCACCTAGAACTTGCTAAATAATTTCATGGTCAATGCTTTCCTAATTTTATTGGAGTCTAAGGTATAACAATGCAACAGGTGTGACACTTGGGAGAACAGCAGCAACTTCTGACTCATGTTGTACTGCTGGCATGATCATGTGGCTGCAGGTGACAGTGTGCTTTTTTTTCTGCCTTCCCCGTCTTCCCCACATCCCCGCAAGAGGCTGCCTTGGTTGCCCTACCTTAGTTACGCTACTTATTCCAGTTGTGTGCAATACCCTGTAAAGAATTGGTTCTCAACCCACATCCCCGCAAGAGGCTGCCTTGGTTGCCCTACCTTAGTTACGCTACTTATTCCAGTTGTGTGCAATACCCTGTAAAGAATTGGTTCTCAACCCACATCCCCGCAAGAGGCTGCCTTGGTTGCCCTACCTTAGTTACGCTACTTATTCCAGTTGTGTGCAATACCCTGTAAAGAATTGGTTCTCAACCCACATCCCCGCAAGAGGCTGCCTTGGTTGCCCTACCTTAGTTACGCTACTTACTCCAGTTGTGTGCAATACCCTGTAAAGAATTGGTTCTCAACCTGTTTAGATTTGAGGCACCCTGGCATAGACTTGATGTGCCCTTTGGAAAATGCCAGCACTTACTTTTGCCTACTGAAAATCATTAAAGCAGTTTTTCTGTTTAAAGAACTCAGAAGAACACAACTATGCATTCCTATTTGAAATCTCTGGGTTTATCCTGTGAATCATTTTTTATAAACTAAGAGCCTTGTTACACATTGCACTATGAGCAGCTCAAATGTCGATCAGTGTTAATATTAGCTTGAGCTTGGAGCAGTCACACCTTAAGACAAAAAACCTTCTCTGACTGTCCCCCACCTGCACAGCTGTGATTTGCCACTAGAGGGTTGGTAAGCAGGGGCCTGACTAGGAGCTATAGCTATGAGTTGCCACTGACACTGGTGAGCCAGGACAGGGTTCTATGCCTGCTCTAGGTGGGGGTGTGCAAGAGATGAGCTGCAGGGGGGCAGGAACCCAGCTCCAGAAGCTTCCTAAAATTAATGTTTAACAAGGTCTTAACAGTGCTATCATGGCACCCTGGTTGAGAATCACTGCTGTAAAGGCACAACTATGGAGCTCCCTGATTGGTCCTGGCACCACAAAACATTTATACACATGCTTAACAGGATTCATGTGAGAATTTGTTAAATGAGTGATGTTGGCTAGCTAAAGTTAAGAATCTGTGCATGCTGGACTGTGGCCACTGAGATATACAGGAGTATTCACTTGTGTAAAGTTTCTCACTTATTTAAATCTTGGCAAGTTCGACTCCATAATTTGCATATGTTTTCTTCTCAGTGGAGAAAAAAATCCTTCCACTCAATATTTTACTCTGTATTAGAAATAAAGCCATCAGCCTGTATCCATCTTCAACAACGGTAGCTACACATACATACATTTAACAGAATTCATCATCCCTTACAGGCAGCAAGTTTGATTTCCCTAAATTCTCCAGATGCAGGCTCTTACCTGTTTTCTATAGACATAGCAAGCTGCTATTGCAACCATGGTAGATTCTCCTACAAAACCAGCTAGAAGTGACCCAACTCCTAGGGTGGCTCCGTGGACCCTGAAGATATAAAAAAAAGAGTAAGTTTATGTTCTTTTAAAAAGTATACATGTAAAGCTAGAAAATTTTAGTGGCAATAAAATATATAACTAATATATAATTTTTCATGAACAAATACTATATTAATGTAATGTAGCTGGTATATTACAGTGCTAGGCCAAAAATCTAGGCACAGGTAGTGAGAATAATTTATATTTAATAGTCCTACTTTGCTTCCTGAATAGGCTTACATAATTTTTCTGTTCAGTGAAAACAAGAGGAAAACCCATTATAGATCAGATTCTCTGCTAAGATAGGCTGAATATGGGATTTTAAGCAGTATTACAGCCCTGCTAAAGAATGATGGATATGATGGGGTTTTTTTTTCAAGCCTACAGAGAAGGTGACGTTCCCTCTTATATTTATTTCATGGGTTTTCATAAAAGTAACCTCACCTGAAGCCCAATATGTTTCCATTAGTACATTTGTAGAATCTTCCCCATGGGCCAGTTGGTAAATGTCTGGCTAGTGATAGATTTGTATCTATATACTTGTAAGTGACTGTTTATGAGGGACTAAAACTACCTTACTTTTACTTTCTGCTCTCTTTAGAGAACATGTTAAGAGTTAAATAGTGCGCCTCTTTAATGAAAGCAGAGTGGGGAGTAAGACAGTGAGTCACAAGATCTACAGGGAAGAGTCATTTACCCCAAGTAAGGCAGAACAATGAGACTAGTGATGAGGACGATAATCCGCAGAACTGAGCTGGGTGCCAGTACAAATGTCTTCTTCAGTGTCATCAGCCAACCTGTCAAATGTGCTCTAACTGTCACTATAAAGAAAGAGAGGAAAGAACGATAAAAAATACGTAGGAGGAAATGCCAATCATATCACAAAGAGAAGGAGAAAAAGTGAGTGCGGCTTTTATTTTAACCACACTGATGGTATTTATTCTAATTTAAGAGAAAAAACATACACATGGTAGAAGCTGTTTAAAAGGGATTTTAAAAAAACAAAACAAAGTCACTAAATAGGGAAGCTGACTGGGAGTTCAGTATGCTTTGGCTCTTGTAAACATATAAAAAAGGAGTCATAACCTCAGCAAGCTTCCTTCAGTGGGAAACTGTCCTATCATAAATGTTTCCATTCTGTTTTAAAAGTAAAATATAAATGTATATGATCATAAGAATAAAAATAAAGCTTCACTACATCTTTTATGCAGCAAGTTTATTTTACTTTTGGCATAAATGCATAACTCCTATCCATGTTTGTTAGAAAAGATACTAATTTGGGTTAGGTCTCATAAATGCCACTTTAGATTTGAAGATTACAATCCTTATGAAGCTGTGCTGTTATATATTGTGCCTACAGAACATATTATATCATGTAGCAGTGTAGCTACATGTACAACCACACAGTTCCTTATGATCTTGGCAGAAACATAATACATGTGCACTGTGACTAGTTTTATTACATTTGCATTCTCTATCATCCAGAAGAGATATGCTTTAGCTTTTGGTTTTCCTCTTGAAGGTAAATTAAGAAACGCAGGCATGCCAAATGTATTTTAGCCTAGTGACGGACTCCCCCTACTATAATACCTGTATCAAGCTAAATCCAATTTGGGGGTGGGGTAGGGCACAAGATCTCAAACCTATATTAACTTCAGTGGAATGAATGTCATTTACTTAGGGTCTGCATTTGGCCACTTGTGTCTTTAAAACCTGCCCAGGGAGGAATGAGCAATTTGCTGCTTTGTTTTTACCTGGAACTGGGAAGAAGGAGAAGATACGCAAAGGAACAACACAGAGCTCTGCAAAGGCGAAGTCCACACCAATGATGTCAACCAAAATCTTCTCTGATACATTTGGTGTCCAAAACATCACGAAACAGAGCTGGGGAAGAAAACCACAAGAACAGTGTTGAAAAGAGGGGGACAGGAAAGAGATAGGAACAGGTGCTCTGAAGTGCCTGGTCTTGGCCTCGCATACAGGTACTTCCTGTCTTGAATTCGGGCTGGGGATAGGTACAGTGCCTCTCCACAGCATTCAGGAATCTCTAGCATCCACAGATATTACAGTATGTTGTAAACAACCTTCCCCCCATCCTTGAAAGACAGTGTTGCAAAATAAATGGGGTGTGGTGGCAGCTTAGGTTCTTTGGGGGCTGCCATTCTGGTGCCCTCTCTGAATTGGCGCCAGGACTAGTGCCCCAGTCACTCCCAGCCACATTACTGATTATGTGCTGTTTCAGAGAGGTCTTTAATTGAATACACTTTTCTTCAGCCCACTTTCTCTTTCCATGCTCTAGCCAGTATGCAGGCTCACACAAGCTTTAGCCTTAGAGACAACTAGTTGGTCACCAAGAAGATGCCCTCACTATTTCAGAAATGAAGAATAAACTGTATAGAACCTAGCCAGGTAATGGAAGTCAAACTGTTATCACTTATCTAAAATGTCCTTTTCAAAATGATAGTAATTTTATTGCAAGGCAAAAAAGGAAAATATGTGAAGCTTGAAATAACAGAAATTTGAAATAATTTCAAGTAATTTGGGGGGGTAAATATTTTTAATCAGAAATGCTTAGGGAGAACAATTTGTCCACTTTCCTGGTTATAGAGAACAGGCATTGTAAAAGTGCTTGAAATTTGGGGATGATATAAAACTGTAATAACAGTGTAACCTTTCAGTTTATAAGCACATCCTGTTAGGCAAATTCCACTTACTTTTATGTACTGAAAAATACAGTAGCTTAATTGCCTAAAATGTGAAGAGAAAATGCTACTCTAAATGAAATAGGGCTTTTTTTCTCTCATGTTTTTTCAGTTTTTTGGAATATGCTTTCCATGTAGTCAGATGTAGCTGATTAATTTAACTGCAGTGACTTGGTACAAGAACTCAAACACTTGTATATCAAAGAAGAAATATTTCCACTGATTTGGCAAAAAAGAATGGAAAACCTTTATTGTCCTTAACCTACCCATCCCTTTAAGCTACTCTTCCATACACAACAATAAATACTGTTCCTGCGAGCTTGATACAAAATGTTGCACATTATGATGGAGAGCAGCACTTGCACGTTCAAAGTACAAAGTACATGCTATTATACATCAGAGAACGATTTGTTCTCAACTACATCATAATATGACTTAGAGGCAGAAATCATTTCTCTTTTCTTTAGTTCTGGAATTACTTTCAGGATCCACTCCTGCTCCCACTGAAGTTAATTACTTTAATAAAGCAGATTCACAACTGTGACTCTCACCCTGAAAACACCTTTGCATATGCTTAATGTTACCACAGCGACTTGTTCAACTGAAATTACAACAGAAAAGTTAAATGGGATGTTCACGACATTGAAGTTAATCATGTGCTAAAGTATTTGCAGAATCAGGAACTGACACTGCAAAGTGCTAGAGAAGCTTGAATTCTTAATGAGTAATGTCCTATACTTGGAGATTCCTGGGTTCTTAGGAATAAAAATGGTATGTTATTATTATTTATTATATCCCAGGGTGTGCCTGGAGATGTGCAGAATATGGAGGAAAACAATTCCACCCTTGTGGAGCTTACATGGTAAATAGACACATATAATCACCTCTAGATTAAAGTGCTCTGAATGGTGCTGATTAAGGGGCTTTATCTCAAGATATTGTTCAATACAAGCTATAATTATGTAGGTATGCTATATTACTTCTTATTAAGTGAATTTGCAATGGTAGATTGATTCAATGTGCAGAGATTCTCCATTGACTTGGCCAATGAGATCTGATTTTACTGCCATAGTAACCAAATCCACTTGAATCTTCTGGTTCTAATCTTAACAATTACATTCTGCTCTAGTGTGAGCTATTGCAAATATCACCTCCCCATGTCCTTTTGTAACAGAGTAGATTTTCACTGCCAATATAAAAAGAGTCTCAGGAAGAAAGTCAGTGCTTTGTGACCAAGTGGAATTGCCTTCCTAAGTAGGATTGCTTATTTGTTTGGGCCCCAGGAGGAGAATGGGTCAGATTCTTCTTTTCCACAATACTTATAAACTGTATTTGTTTTCTGAAAAGTTTTAGCCTTATTCCAGTGATGGACTCAAGACATGGTTTGGTGGAGGTTTGCCCCTGGGGGAAGGGGAGGATGGGACATAGAGAGGAAACCATAGAGAGTTGATTCAAAGAGACTCTTCCAACAAAATGGATGGAGGGATGCCTAACCATCAGTTGGTTCTACTAAGGCATAGGGTGAAGCCTAAAACCTTTGTAATAACAGTTGCTCTTCACTTCATAAAGGTTAGACTGTTGTCAAAGGAGGCACTGGCTGTGACATTAGTGGGAAAGGAAAAAATACCACAATTAAAGATGTTGTCTGTTCTAAGAGAGCAAGCGTGTGGTACATACAAGAAAGGATAGGCCCTTCTGCTGGACAAGCATTCCTTTGGGCATTTTTATCGTTACATATCTTAACATTTCCTTTCTAAAATGGAACTTGTTAACTTCTGGTTTTCAATGTATGTCCCTTTGACTACATCTACACTGCAAATGAAGGTATGATTATAGCCTGGGCAGACCTTACACACAAGTTTTTATGCAGGTAGCACAGGTAGCAACAGCAGTAAAAGGTATACAACAGAGGTAGGCAACATTTTTGGGCAGAGTGCCAAAAACCCATGTAACCTCAACTTGTAAGATGTTGGTATGCCGGAGCAGATGGTTGTGGGAGCTGCAAGGGGTCCGATCCTTTTTGTGGCAGCATAGAACTGGTACCTTCTCTGCAGTCTGCTTAGAGGCACACATGTCAAGCAAAATATCTTTGCGTACCATACTCTGGCACCTATGCTAGGGGTTGCCTATCTCTGTTATAGAAGTATGGGCTTCTGCATGGGAAAGCAACCAGACAACACACCCTGGAACCCCTGTACAGCCTGCATGGAAGTTCAAGTGACTTTTTAGTCAGGTTGTTTCACGTGCTGCCAGCCATTCAGTCTGACCTGTCTCTGCTGAAGGGATGCTGTAAGTGGATAGGTAAGGAGTGAACCTTGCTGAGGCTGAACACTGAGTACTTCAAAAGTAAGGTCCGTTGCCTGTGGAGTTCTAGCATTGGAAAAGGCTTTAGTTTGCTGTCTTACAGTAGGACTGCAGCATAATTTGGAATACTCATTATTAGGGCTGTGCAAAGCTTTGGGTGGTGATTCAATTTGGAGGAGATTCGGTCCGATTCAGTGGCCAAATCTCCAAATGCAAATCGAATGACGGGACCAATTTAAAGGTCCAAATCGATTCACAGCTCTCCGAAACTTCAGAAAATATTCGGAGAGCTTTGATGATTCAGGCAGCACAGAGCTGCAGCCGACTCCAAGCTGGTAAAAACTACGGGCGGGGAAGGGGGGCTGGAGGAAGGGGGAGGGGACTATGGGGGGACCCCTGCCAGCCCCCCTGACCCCGCCCATTCTCCCAACCCCCCCATGGCTGCCCCGTCTGCCCCAGCTCCTGGTACTTTAAAGAAAAGGCCACCAGGTGCTCACTGAGTGCTGCCGGGCGGGGGGTGATCCCCACTGCCCTATGCTGCATGGGGGCTCTGCCATGAGCCCCCTGACCTCCCCTTCGCTTCCCCAGCTCCCCCAGGGGTGCCCTGCCTGCCCCAGCTCTAGCCCTTTAAGGAAAAAAAAAAAAAACAAGAAAAGCCCCGGGACTCACAGCTCCTGCAGTGGCCTTGGGGCTTCATGCAGAACCCCTTACATGGTGCAGGGCAGCAGGGATTGCCCCCCTGGCTGGCAGGAGCGGTGAGTTTGGGGGTTTTATGGTTTTCATACAGAGCACCCCCATGCAGCATGGGGCAGTAAGGGGCAGCAGGGAACCCCTCCCCCCCCCTTGCCCAACAGCACACAGTGAGCACCGGGGCTTTTTTTTTTTTTTAAAAGAGCGGGCAGGGGATGGGCCTGGCTGATATGGAGATTCAGCTGAATCAAATCGGGACAGTAATTTGACTCACCAAATCGAATCACTGCCCCCCAAATTGGCCGAATCCGAAACGAATACTAGCCACTTTGCATAGGCCTACTTGTTATACAAAAGGCTTGAATCGATTAAGGCTGGTATAATGTAGTTTGGTTTCTCCTGGAGAGGAGATAAGAAAGCTATCTTCTTAAATATAGAGTAATAGAGGAGCGGGGAGTGGCCATAAGTGTTTTTAAGTAATTTATATGGGGTCTTAGAGCAAAGGTGATGGCTAAATAAGAAACGGAGGGAAAATAGGACAGTTGAACGTAACACAGATTGTGCAAGTCTGGGTGACAAGTGTGATGGTGTTTTTCATTAGTGATAAAAAATTATTTTGGAGGGAAAGAAGAATTTGGCTTGTCTATATCTATGTGTTGGAAATGGACACCCAGAAGAGAAATGGAAACAGTAGCACAGAGTTGGATAAGGGGGGACTCACCCTGGGTGCAGATTTAGAGGGAGGCACCAGACTGGGTGCCACAGAGGTTGCTGAAACTATTGTGCAGGAAGTCTGCATAGCAGTAGCAGCCCTGAGCCCTTGCTGGGTCAGCTGCTGGAGCCAGAGCGTGATGACCCTGTGCTCATTACCAGCAGCTGAGTCTCTGGATAAGGTAAGACTTGCTCAGAATTCTCCCCATCCCCCATTCCACACAATAACTCCATCCAGAGCACTGAAATAATTAGTTATGACTCTGGTTAGCAGAAAAGAAGAAGGAATTAAAATGAACTAATCAGTTTTAGTGACAGCCAGAGGTCTGTTGCATTTTTAGAGTGAATTTTTGCTGCTTTTCTTCCTCCAAATTAGAGTAACCACCAGGCACTGGGAAGGGGATAAATGAAAGGTAATCATTCCCTTGATGCAGAACAGGTCATGGGGCTGCTGTGTTGCTCTCTTCTCCACACTGT